AACTTTCTAGCCAATACTTACTTTATTTGAATCTATCAAGTTCGACCACTGGCATTGATAAGGACATAAAAGAATTTTCATAATGAATAAACTATCATATGAACCAATAAAAACCAACATTCTACTGAATGAATCAATACCAAAGTCAAAAATTACATTGAATCGATACATGATTTTACATTTAATTTTTCCCTAATAAATTGTAATTTTGGGATTTAACATTCCCAATAGATTGAAAATCAGGTGGGACTTATCAACAGGGTCCAGCTACGGCATGACTTCAGGTGATCAAGCAAACCTAGAAACTTGATATTTCTTAGTAAGACGAATACAAGTAAGCCATTGAGTTGGAACTGTAAACTTTAAAAATACAGGTGGATCACCACAAATTATCTATACTTAATAACGTCTATATGCTTCCACATGAATTTTCAGGAATTCGTGAGATGTGGTCTGTGGAGTCAAATAATTCAATAGTAAGTCAAAAAACTGATCAGAAATAATGTATAAGTACTCCGTTCCACTAAAAAATCGATTTGAGAATGGTAATTACTGCAATACTGACTTAGTACAGGTTCGATCACATACGAGACTGTAGAAAACTCACAAAGATATTTGCAAAATTTCCTTGTATCCAACAGGTAATAATTCACAATGGTAATTATTTTTTTTTTCATAAACGAATCTTCACATGAAACCATTAATGTGTACTATCAGTCGATTGCGTTTTCGGTACTTAATGTTGAATGAATTCCACTAGTCAATTTGTTACCAAGATAAATGATGCTACACATCCAATCCTGTTAGTCCAACTTACTGAATTGAAAATCCCTTGGTTAGGATACATAAGGACTAGCTTACGAAAAATAATTGAATTCTTCACAGGATAATATAATTTTCCATAGTATTTGATGAAGTAAAAGTTTCTTCGAGTTTTTAAGTTATCCTACAACATCCAGTTATAATCTTTCTAGAGTTTAAATTAGCTAATTATAATATCACCTGAAATCATATCCATACCATTTTGACATTTAGAAAGCAAACAATATATGACTACCATGATTGAAGATTATTGTCACATTGGGAGCAATCCTAACTTTTGATCTGAAAACCCCAGTGACAAATGTAGGCTACTGTCATTGAGGTTGGTGAATAGTTACATAGAACAAATATATAGGTTGCATTTGGTTCGCTTTATTAACTTCATAGAGGGTAAGAACAAAGAATTGAAAAGAAAGACATGAATTCACTCTATTTCGTCACGTTTTCACAAGCTGCTTACAACCTACTATACTTTAAAATCAAAATTATTGTAAAGTCCGCATACATAAAACAGTAAAATTGGATATGTATCAACGTAATGGAGGAGTGAGATTGAAAACTATATTTTTGCCCTCAAAAAGTTATGACTTAGTCTTTCGGTACCGAATACTGGAAATGATGACAATGCCAGTTTAAGAACAAACTGTAAGAACTTAAACTGTTACTCAGTCGTTTGTGACTCATTCCTAAAATAAAATAAATTACATCATACCCCATGGAAAAACCAACTGAATGGAACTCATTACTCTAGATCAACTTCATTGACTACTAGAAAGCATTTGATAGCGTGGACAGGACTATACTATGGAGGCTTCTTCGGCACTACGGCGTGCCTGAGAAGATAGGCAATATCATACAGAATTCCTATGATGGATTAAAATACAAAATTGTACATGGAGGACAGCTGACAGACTCGTTCAAAGTAAAGACCAGTGTCATGTAAGATTTCTTACTCTCACCATTTCTCTTTCTCCTCGTGATCAACTGGATCATGAAGACGTCAACATCTGGTGGAAAGCATGGGATACAGTGAATAGCTAGGATGCAGCTGGACGATCTAGACTTCGCAGATGATCTGGCTCTTCTATCGCACACGCAACAACAAATGCAGAAGACGATCAATGTAACAGCAGCCTCAGCAGCAGTAGGTCTCAATATACCCAAAGGGAAAAGCAAGATTTTCTGATACAACACAGCATGCACCAATCCAATCACAATTGACGGAGAATATTTGGAAGATGTAAAAACCTTTACATATTTGGGCAGCATCATTGATGAACACGGTGAATCTGATGTAGATGTGAAGGCACAGATCAGAAAAGCAAGATCAGCATATTTACAAATGAAGAACATCTGGAAATCAAAACAACTGTTTGTCAACCAACACCAACTTCAGAATTTTCAATACAAATGTCAAGACAGTTCTACTGTATGGGGCGGAAACCAGGAGAACTACGAAATCCATCATCCAGAAGACACAAGTGTTTATTAACAACTGTCTACGCAAAATACTTCGGATCCGTTGGCCAGACACTATCAGCAACAACCTACTACGAGAGAGAACCAGATCCCAGCGGAGGAAGAAATCCGGAAGAAGTGCTGAAAGTGGATAGGACACACATTGAGGAAAGCAACCAACTGCGTCAAAATGCAAGCCCTCACGTGGAATTCTGAAGGCCAAAGGAAAAGAGGAAGACCAAAGAAGAACACATTACGCCGAGAAATGGAGGCAGACATGAGAATAAACAAAAATTGGATAGAACTAGAAAGGAAGGCCTAGGGTAGAATGGGTTGTAGAGTGCTGGTTGGCGGCCTATGCTCCATTAGGAGGAACACGCGTAAGTAAGTAAGTAACATCATATGAGATACAAGCTTTGAAAAATTTCCGTTACAGAAACACTTCAAAATCCGAATCAACATACTTTTTATTTGACCAGATATTATAATACTCGTCAGAAAAATATCCCACTGACCACCAGTTATCTTTGAGATACTGTGGTGTATACTACTTCTGTCAACAGACATAAGTAGTATACAACACCAATCACAAGTGAAATGCCTGGCAGCAGAAGGTTGGGAAGATTGTATTCAAGAGAACGGGAACAGAAAGTAGTTGTTATAGCAATGAAAAAAAAACGGTGAAATTTGAGATAATTTATGGAGGATTTGTAAATGAAGAATTGAATGTATTGTTTTTCTTATGTCCTTATTCTTATACGATTGTCGATTTAGATAAGTTGACTTGTACGATCTAACCAATGACTCATACACGAGTACGAACAGTCTAGAGTTCTCATTAGTTCCTTTTCAGTTTCACGTTAAAGTTGCAGATTTTTATCCTTTTAATTTTATTCTCATTTACACTCCTTAAGCTGATATAAAGGAGAACACTTTGAGCTCATTGAAGATCATGTCATATATGAACGTTAACGTCAAAATTACGAAACCAAATTTTCTGTTGTGATATGATTAGTAAATAATAAACTTTAGGTTAATTAGCAATAAAGTATCTATTTAAAATCCTAATTAAACTCTTTTGCTAAGACAGATTTATCTAATTCTCATCATCAGTCAAATAATGATCAACAAAGATTGATTGTAATAATAAGCATAACACGTTTTCTTAATTTGATTTTAGACCATACTTCATGGCTCTAAACTAAGATTAAATGTAGTTTGTATTATTTTTTAGGATTTCATTTTTAAAGAGAAACCAGTTAAAATAGAATTCTCACCTTTGAATAGGTTGTTGAAAGCTTAGTCAACCACTGACTTACATAGTTTTGTACGATAATGATTGTTTAACATAATTTATCCCCTTGCCAAAATATAAATTCATTGCATATTGCGTTAACTTATCACATCTACTTACAAGCCTATTTATGATTCAAATATAACTACATAATAGTGGATATAAAACTTCGACTAATCTGGAGACGTAACTTGAATAGTCCTCGACAAAATTTGGATAATCACCATGATAGCTCATAATCAAGATCTCAACTATTGAAAAGATAAAAGAATTTCGATTTTCTACTCCAGAAGATCGATGATATATATATATAATACGTTAGGCTATAGAGATTTTAGATGGTGGTTGGAGGTAGTCAACAGGAAACCCTGGTTTCGTGCTACTTGGCACTCGTCAGCAAGGTGTACCTGTTATCTTGAGGGAACTGGTGCTCCCTGACGGATTTGATCTCGTGTCACCCAGCCTCACAGTTAGAGACGTTGCCACTGAGCTATCCGAGCCGCGACTAACCTCCTGTGGTGATCAATGTCATGCGTGTCTAGTCCTTATTAGTGCAGATCGAATGCTATCGATCATGTTTCCTGTTGACTACCTCCAACCACCATCTAAAATCTCAATATACAGTGCCCGCAGTGTCGAGTCACCTAGATTGGTGGCCACATTGCAACACTAATAAGGACTAGACACGCATGACATTGATCACCACCCAGTGATCAATCAATTGTGATTACGTTAGGCTATCTTTTAGAATCAACCATTTAAATTGTGATTTCTATGGGCCTAGGTTTAATCGTACCCAAATGATCTGGGGAAAAAAAAACTAAGAGAGAGATTATTAAAATCCTATTTTTGGCTGATCATGATTAAATAGTATAGTTCCCAATACAGATTAATACAATTAATACGAAAATATTAACATTTCAAAAGGGATATTAGTTGAAAATAGTATATTAATTGGAAGGCATTATAACTATATATATATCACCATGATAATACCAACAACAATAACAATAACAACAATCTTATCAACTCAAAATATCTCAGAATATAAAAACAAACAAAAACAAAAAATGAAGAAAAAATAAAAGAAAATGAAAAAAATTTTTTATTTTAAACAAAAAAAGAAAATAATCAATGAATCAATTATTGGAGAGAAATTTCTTGAACAACGTGAAAGAACAATCTTAAAATAAAAGAAGGGGGGGTTGAATTGTGATGAATGAACAGAAGTCAATTGATTCCCCACTCCCCGCCACCAAAAAAAAAAGAAGAAAAGGAAATTGTATAATTCCCGTTTTTTTAAAAAAAGAAGAAACTAACATTTAAAATAAAGTGAACAGTAGATTGATCACCTATCTACAGTTGAACGTATATATGCTTATGAAATGTAGAAATGATTTATATAAACATGAAAATCAATAATTTATCACAGACATAATGATTCGTATGTTGAGAATACCATACACCCCGAAAAATCTTTATGTGTAAAAGTAAAAGACAACTGTAAACAATAAATAAAAAAGAAACAACATTATAATAAACACCATTAGATTCATTGATAATGATTTACAACTAAATATTTCATGATCTTAATCAAAAAGTTAATAATCTCTATAACTCTATACTGATAATTACTATGTACTCACACTAGTGATTAGTTTCGTGAAGGAATTCTAGGAGTTCTAATGAGAAGTCATGACCAGTGAAACTAATCCGTGTCAAGTAGAGACAGGTATCTACCTCAATACAATGGAAGATGGTCGCGCAATTTTGTAGATTGGTTGAGGTTATACATGAACACTGTTGGATCCCGACTAGGTCAGTGCTCTAGAGGTTAAGCGTTTGCGCGCGAGATTGAAGGCTCTGGGCTCGAATCCCTTTGGCGCGGGATCGTCGATGTGCACTGCTGAGTAGTCCCATAACAGGACGAAACAGCCGTCCAGGGCTTCCAGGTTTTTAGTGGTAGTCTAACACCAATTGTTTCATGATCTCAATCAAAAACAGAGAACCCTATTAAAACGATAAGACTAACTTACGGACAACCTTTCAGCGACGCCAGACTAACCTTGAGAGTGTCTACCTAATAACTAGGATCAAATGAAGGTTATAAACCTGTGTGATGAATTAAAATTATGATTTACAGCTGATGGTTAAAGTTACAAATTAGATTTAGGGTTTTCATCACGAACCGACATTAGCTATAATTCCAAAACTTTATTTAACCAAATGGATGAACGAATTTCTCGCCAAAATCCGAAACCTATCATCTTATACCTCATTGGTTCGTTCATAAAACTCCATTAAAACTACTTATTCTTAAATTTTTAATTATTTCTACCATACTACCTACATTTCGTCCCAAAAGCTACACTTTTCTCAACAAACAGAAGATTGATATAAAAAAACATAATTTTTAGCATTGAGTTCTTTGAGTTAGATAGTTGGTAATTGTGAATTATTCATTGTCAATCAAAAGAATACCACCAGAGTCTAACTTTATGTAAGAGTAGAATCTTGATTCACAACTAGATACGATTATTACTGTTATTGAATGTTGTGACACGACGATAATTACAGTTGATAATGATTTATAGTGATAAAATGATGCATTTAATGGATACAATTCCATGTATTTGAATTTGAGCTAAACGATATGCAAAGGATAGTGATACTTAACCGAAATCAAATAATGAAACAAGGCTATTTGAACGCTTTAATTTTTAAGCTACTATACTTTATGCAAATTAGATTGATTATTTTGAAGTGAAAAGAGAACAATAAAACCACCAATTTTATATGTGTATTCTGTTCTATACACAAACTGATTACTCACAAAATTATGCAATGAGTAGAACTTCCCTGGCAGAAGCTGTATATGTGTGGTTATGATCTTACACGACTATGCGTATACAACCACTGTCAGGAAAGTCCTGCTCACTACCCTCTCGCGGCACGGGGTGTTGTTTACGAAATTGAGAGGACGAAACGCGAATGCCCAGTGCATTAACCGGGTTGGTGGACACCGAGAATCCACCTAAGAAAGATGGAAATCCCTGATTCTCAAAACAAATGGTGCACATAGGCTTCAGGATCCTAAGAGAACAAATGGCCTATGAACCAATTATTGGTCACCGGCTACCATGGGACTGCATCTCCTCATCTTGCTCCACTGTCTTGTGGATCAGACCTTTAGGTCAAAGGCTCTGCGTGTGGCCCCCTCAGAAAACCACTTGCTTCGGTTTGGGCACCCGGGTAGTGTTACAGCCCACACACAAATCAAGTGACTTGTATGGTGCATATGTATTCAGTGCCCCTTGTACCAATATTCGTGCGTTCAAATAAGTAAATATCCAGAAATAAGTGGAAAAGAGTCTAAGACAGAAATGACTGGAGATCCATGGTTGGTAGCCCATAGTCTAATGAGACGTAACTGGCTTAACTAATTAAAGTGGGGCCCAAAAATATATAGTTTATATCAAACCGGAAAGTTAGTATTTATATTTCGATGGTGTACGGAAGTGGGACTTTAAAAACCAGTGATTGGAGCCATTCGACAAATTACGTCTTGTGAGAAATTGCCCATTGACCTGTTGTGATGATAAAGAGTAATTAGGAAACGTTCGAAATAAATGCTTACACCCCCACTGATTTAAAGACGTGACCACTGTTTGTTAACATTAAGGTAAACAATACACTAAATCTCATTTAACACGGTCAACTCATCACCAATCTTTAAGCTGGATGAAGATAAGTTAGAGCAATATAATGAGAAAATTATCAGATTAATGGGAAACAGACAATTTGAACATACTATTAGTATTCCAAAACGGAGTACTAGAATGAAATAGCGAAAGAGTAAATATCGAATTTAATTTTGTGCTTGTATTTGTTTCTCACAACATCGTACAAAGTCACTAATACATACACACAAATATGATGAAATGTCGATATTTATGGAAAATACTTGTCTTGCTTCGATTAACAATCAAACGATTCACATTATTATTATTATTATTATTATTATTATTATTTTACGTCATTTATTCAATCTCTTTTATTCCCATTATGTGTATCCTTATTTCTCGACTTATACAGCAGCTCGTCTATGGTGGGAACTCGGTTCTATCTAATGTTCTCGAGTCACTGTCCGGTTGAAAACTGTATGTTACCACCGAACATGAGTACTGAAGCAGTTTTTCTAAAACCACGTGCATCATTCGAACTGGCTGCCTTCAACGTTCGCAAATTTATGCAGGTCGGACAACAGATAGGGCTGGCTATGTCTTTGGAAAGTCTTAATATTGATGTTTGTTGTCTATCCGAGACCCGTATTCAAGACTCTGGCGAAGTACTACAAATTCGATCTCCATCTGTCGCTTCGAAAAGCTTGTTTTACGTGCGCTTATCCGGGGACCCTGTGGCATCTTCGTCTGGTCTTGCTGGCGTTGGTGTCGCACTAAGCGCTAGAGCTGAGGCAGCACTAGTCGATTGGATCCCCATTAACAGTCGGTTATGTGCTGTTAGATTAGAAAGTTCCATCAAAGTGAGAAGAAATCGGCGTGAGAAACGATGTCTTTTCGTCATCTCCGCCTATGCCCCGACAGATTGCAGCCCGGATGCAATCAAGGATGAGTTTTACCACCAGTTAACTGTTCTTCTCCAGAAAGTGCGTTCGACAGATATTGTAGTACTAGCCGGAGACTTGAATGCTCAGGTCGGGCGTCTAGGCACAGAAGAGAGTCGTTTAGGTGGCCGATGGGGACTTGTTGGTCGCAGGTCAGATAACGGGGACCGTCTACTGCAACTGTGCACAGACCACAACCTGTTTCTGGCTAGCACTAACTTTCGGCACAGTCATCGCCGATGTGCCACCTGGCGTCCTCCCTCTGCATCTCAAGCCTGGACTCAGATTGATCACATCGCGATCAGCTACCGCTGGCGTGGTTGTGTACGAGACTGCCGCTCCTTTTGGAGTACCTACCTGGACTCTGACCATGCTTTGGTCTGCGCCAATCTTACCTTACTTTTCAGTGGCCAACGAAGTGATCGCCACCAAATGATTGATGTCAGCAAGTTGGTTGCATCTTCTGTTGCAACTAAGTATCGAATCGAGCTAGTTTCTAGGCTAGCTACCATACCACAGAAAACTATAGATGGGCATTGGTTGCAACTTCACGAAGCCATGAACATGGCAAGTAAAGCCGCTTGCGGCTTCGCGAAACGTCCTGCCTATAAGCATTGGGTTTCTTCAGGCTCCTTACAACTCATCGAAGCCCGTCGGTCTACTCCGGGTGACCGTGAGTTTGACCACAAACGAAGGATGTTACGTAATGAAATCGGGCAAAGCTTGCGTAAGGACCGAGAAGCCTGGTGGTCGAAGCGTGCTAATGAGCTGGAAGCAGCAGCTGCATCTGGTAACTACCGGAAGCTCTTCCAACTCATCCGAGCCACTGGCAGCAAGAAGTCTGGTGTGAGTGAAACAATCTGCGAGGATGATGGGATGCCAATCACTAACATCCATCGACGTCTTGGACGAAAGGCAGTTCAACTGGCCTGCTGCTCCGGCAACATCGGTCAGACTGTCCTGCCCTCCATGGCCGGTGACGACTGATCCACCAAATGAGGAGGAAGTCCGCAAGGAACTCCAACTCTTGAAGCGTTACAAATCACCTGGCCCAGATGACTTACCTCCGGCTCTTTTTAAAGATGGTGGTGACTTTTTGACTAAGGAATTGACGACGTTGTTTACAAAGGTTTGGGAACTAGAGAGTGTACCAACGTCATGGAATGAGTCGATAGTTGTCCCTATCTTTAAAAAGGGTTCACGTCGTTCCTGTAACAACTATCGGGGGATAAGTCTACTTCCGATTGCGTCCAAGCTATTGGCTTCCGTCATACTTCGTAGGTTGTTCAAAACCCGAGAAAGATTGACTCGCGAGGAGCAGGCTGGGTTTCGTTCTGGTCGAGGATGTATTGATCATATCTTCACCCTCCGCCAAATGTTAGAACACCGCCATACTTATCAAAGGCCAACAATCGTAGTGTTTCTTGACATCAGGGCTGCCTTCGATTCGTTGGACAGGACTGTTCTCTGGGATTGTCTATTGAAGAAGGGTGTGCCTGAGAAGTTTATTAACATCCTAAAAGCCCTATATAAAAACACCTCAGGCAGAGTGAGGGCATACAACCACCTCTCTCCATTGTTCCATTCGAGCAGTGGGGTTAGGCAGGGTTGCCCAATCTCACCATTCCTCTTCAACTTTGCCATCGATGACATTCTGGAAACAGCTCTGATGAATGTAAGTAATGGTGGTGTGGATCTGTTGCCTGGAGAAAGACTTCTCGACCTTGAGTATGCGGACGATATTGTCTTACTGTGCGATAATGCCCAAGGCATGCAATCCGCACTTAATCAGTTGGCAATCAGTGTCCGTAGGTATGGTATGTGCTTTGCACCTTCGAAGTGCAAAGTACTTCTACAAGACTGGCAGGATTCTAATCCTGTACTCACCCTGGATGGTGAGCAGATAGACGTAGTCGAGAAGTTCGTGTATCTGGGTAGCTGCATAAGTGCTGGTGGGGGTGAGTGATGAGATCAATGCACGCATAGTGAAAGCCAGAGCGGCTTATGCCAATCTGGGCCACCTTTGGCGCCTTCGTGATGTTAGTCTGGCTGTAAAAGGTCGGATCTACAACGCGTCGGTGAGAGCAGTTTTGCTCTATGCTTGTGAAACCTGGCCTCTCCGAGTTGAGGACGTTAGACGACTCTCTGTGTTCGATCATCGCTGTCTCCGAAGGATTGCTGACATCCAGTGGCAACACCATGTCAGTAATGCAGAGGTTCGGCATCGTGTGTTCGGGCACAGAGATGATAATCCAATTGGTGTCACCATCTTGAAACACCGACTTCGGTGGCTTGGGCATGTTCTACGAATGTCGTCCCAGAGAATTCCACGTCATGCATTATTCGCCGATGCTGGGACTGGTTAGAAAAAGCGGAGGTGGTCAGTGTATGATATGATGTTGTGGTATGAAAGAAAGCTGTAAAGGGCTAGCCTCTGTTGGTCCTTCACGACTCCCTGGCTGGGGTCCGTCAGTCAGTCAGTCAGCTACAACGTAGGACCAGGCACATATGTGCATCGGTCCATGTTGCCATACCGCATCAGCACAACAAGATGAACACCGGATTCATAGTAGTGGTTAGGTCAAAGGTGGTAATAAATAAGAGGAAGATTGCATACAGAGATATAGTACAAGAAGAAAGAATTGGTTCGTAGAAAGAAAGATACGAAGTGATTTTAATCTCTTAGTTTAAGGGAAGACAGGGAGTGTATACACCGACGCCATTGTGATCGATTCTGAGCCATGTCACCAAGAGTCTCCAACCATTGGTTACGATAGTCACGCGGACCCCAACCAAGTAGTCTGCATCTACCAACATAGTTCAGACTAGAACTTAGTGACTTCAAGCACTGATGCCACGTTTTGGTTTGGCCGCCCCTAACTTTCTTCTAACCATCTCCAATACCGGATAGCATTGCACGTCGTGGTAATCGGTGTTCAGGCATACGTAACACGTGGCCCAACCATCTCAGTCGATGAAGATTCATAACCTCATCAACTGATTTACCATCATTTCCTAATACCCTGCGTCTAACCTCACTATTACTTACCCGGTGATCCCAGCAGACGCCAGCAATATTTCTAAGGCATCTGTGGTCAAATATTAATAGCTTACGAGTGTCTTCTACTCTTAATGGCCATGTTTCGCTGCTGTAAATTAAAACAGAATGGACTGCCGCGCAGTATACTCGTCCTTTTATTGATAGACGGATATCTCGCCTTCGCCAAAGGTGACGTAAGTTGGCAAAAGCCAAACGAGCTTTTCGAATCCGTGCTGAGATTTCGTCAGACACCAACCCATTAGGGCTGATCAGACTTCCAAGATAAGTGAAGTTGTCAACGCATTCGACTACTTCGTTCCCTATCCTTAGTTCAGGTGTTGACGCAGACCAGTCCTGAAGCAACAACTTGCATTTAGAGGGAGAGAGGCGCATTCCAAACATTCTGGCATTGTTGCTCAGTGCTACCAAAAGACTCTGCATTTTGTCAGCGTCTTCACCAAACAGGACTATGTCATCTGCGTATTCTAAGTCGATAAGTGGACCTCCTGGATGGAGATCAATACCCGAGAACTCAGTCGACGAGAAAGTTATTTCCATCGGTAGATCTATGATGAAGTTAAACAAAAATGGGGAAAGTGGACAGCCTTGACGGACACCACTTGAGGTTGCAAAAGTAGATGACAGTTCGCCATAAGCTCTGACTCGACTAGTAGTGTTCGAGTAAAGAGCCTTTACAAGGTTTATGTACTTCTGGGGTACGCCTTTCAATGACAGACACTGCCACAGAATCTCGCGGTCTACAGAGTCAAATGCTGCTTTTAAGTCGAGAAAGACCACCATTGTCGGACGCCGATAAGTATGCCTGTGTTCTAGAATTTGACGAATGGTGAATATGTGGTCGATGCAGCCACGACCAGGTCTGAAGCCAGCTTGAGTCTCTCGTGTTTGCAGTTCACGAGTCTTAGTTAGGCGTCTGATAATTATCGAAGCTAGTATTTTAGATATTATATTAGTTAAACTAATCCCTCTGTGGTTGTCACAGGATGATTTCGACCCTTTCTTATATATTGGGACGATAAGTGATTGTGACCAGTTAGATGGGATAACGTCTAATTCCCAGATCTTAGCTAAAATATTAGTCAACCTAATCGCTAAAATTGGACCACCATCCTTAAAGACCTCTGGAGCCAGTCCATCTGGACCAGCTGCCCTTCCTCGCGATCCTGCTGTAACCTTCTTTTACTTTCTTCATAAAAAAATGGTTGTTTCTTCCTTAACTGAAAGATTTCTTCTGATTGTACCTTTCCGTTTCCCCCATTATTATTATTATTACACTACCTTACACTAATCGGTTCGCTATTGTTTTTTTTACGCTCCTTAACTTCTTTTTTTCCTCTCCAAATTCTCATTGTTTTGTGTGGTGCATATATATTTGGTGCCCACTTGTACCAATATTTATGTGTTCAAATAAAATAAATGAATAATAAACTGATACATTAGCTTAAATTTCAGAATCCAATTGGAAAAACGTAAGTTTTCACGTTTATCATTCTATGCTACTAATCAGTTGAGACGTATTTAATACACCCAAGTAAACACAAACATGTTAAATTCAATTTATAAATTTTATGGACTTACCTGTGATGCAAAAATGAACAAACACTAAGAACGACAACATAGCTTAGATGACTTTGTACTGTTAACAGATTCGTTTGATCCAGGAAAAGTTAAGTGAGCAGGGCCGATTCCAACTGGATAGGACATTTGGTTTGGGTTAGAACCATTTTGAATTTGTTCTAAAACACTTCGAACAGCAGCGGTAAATGCATCCAGAACATTTGAACCATTTTTAGCTGATGTTTCCAAAAATGTATAAGCTCCATTATCAATGGCACACTGTTTCCCTTCTAATTCAGTGACCTAAGTGATATAATGAACCGCACATACGCTGTGGATTAGTGAAAGGATAATGTAACTTTAAAATTGCAACATATAGGTACTATAAGGCTTTATAATAATTTGTACACGCAAGATCCGTAATGATACGACGTCTAACAGTCAAGTTTATCAATTGGGAAGTGCATGAATTACGAACTAGTGTCATTCAGTCGTTCAAAAAATTAATCCATCTTATTTCATGTTTAACTTCTATGTGCAAACATATATATATAGAATGTCTGATCATCTAACCAGCAGTGTTGTCCTTGATTTCTAATCATCCGGAGGATTACGTTGACCCGCACGGTCTCGTGAGCAGCCTTTGCTCAGCCACATCACATCACTGCGTTTATGTATCGACATTTATTCATCTATCTACTTAAACGCATAAACATTAGCACAAGATGAGCACCCAATACATAGTCGTATTATGTAGTTGTCACCAAATAAGTGTCCAGAGCGATAGAGACCTGACTTTAATGAATGATAATTTCACGAAGTTACAGCCTACCCTGAAAATGAACTTTGTATCTGGCTCATCTCTATTCGTCTACTGTACTGAATATGTGCAAAAAAACATGTGTAGCCCTCGTTTACATGTGATGAACATATTTCTTAGTGATATACCTACAGCTTTGCCTAAACATATGGTGATTCTACCGAGTGTAAGACATTAAAACAGGATTCCTAGCAGCAAATCTCCAATACAACAAGACAACTGAACATAGCTACTACGTGGTTCCTTTTAGAATAAACGATATCTGGCTAACGTAAGCTGGCGAACATGTCATTGATCCATGCACCTTAATTGAAGTTGTTTGGTCGACCTAAGTGTATAGCCTTTCAGCCAGACAAAATCAGGTGTCATTTCACTTACCTCACGTAAATTCGCTTCCAAATCAACTTTGTTTCCTATCAGTATAACTGTCAGGTTTGGAAGAGCTAAATCTCTAACAGAGGAAATCCATGAATTAATTGCGTTAAATGAATCTCGGTCAGTGATATCGTAAACTACTAACGCACAGGCTGCACCTCGATAATATGAGCGTGTGATACACTGGAATCTCTCCTGACCTAAAAGAAATTACGTTTACTAGATGAAGCGTACCAGCCGTATCCCATATCTGTAACTTTACAGACTTTGAATCAACTTTAAGCACTTTTGTTCCAAACTCAACACCTATTGTGTGTAGTGAATCCTGTTTAAACTTCCCCTCAAGAAACCATCTCATCAAACATGTTTTGCCAGTAGCAGCATTTCCAATAATCAGAAACTTCAGCAGGTAATCATACCTCTCCATAATCTTCAAGGTTAGCCATCCGTCAAGGTCGTAGAGGTTACGCGTTACTAAAATCCAATATCGAAAATGTGTAAGATAAACTAGTACATAGTATTTATTTTGTTTCGAGGGTAGATAACGAGTATCAAAAATTTCATCTTGTCCTTTGCCTTAAATTACGAGTTAATTAGAATTATATCAATCTTTCGAAACTTTCTATCCTTCTGACTGTTATAAACCTATTGATTTCTCTTCATTCATGCCTGACGTTAGGAGGCGACTCTAAATAATCGCTTCCAGTAAGCTTCTTTTCACTGGTTGTCTGTCTTCTTTGTATGACAAGTAGTCTGCTTTAGGCGGTATGTATATCACCCAAATAAACAGACTTGTAAGTCTTGGACGGTGATGCTGACCTCATTAGTTTTAATGGACAAACCTAGCTGAAATTTCTCGATCACGCAACCGCAGCAGATCACGAGTGGGCACGTCATGTAACGTATCCCTTGCAAGTTTTAGCCAGCCTACATTAAACGCTTCTTGACATATTGAGAGCCTCCCAAATGTATGTTCCAACCATTTCACTTAGGACTTTTGATTTGTATGGGTTGGCTTTCTGCGATAACACAGATGTTACGAGTAGTGAGTCGTTGAACTCTAGACACATGTGGCGTCCTTAGAATTGAGATTGACGTGATCTGATGCACTAATTCCTAGACACTGAGTCTGTTTATTGTTCAAACATTATTCATCACTTTCTAAATTTGTATTTTCATATATTGTGATAGGGTTTTGTATATTTTCAGATGTTTCCTTTGCATATCATATCTACACCGCGACGGAACAGAAACCTAGGCTATTTAATATCAAAGCTCTTGTAGCGTGGTGTCCAGTCGAGTTTGACTATGAACACCGCTACCAAAAACCGCGGAACAACGATGGAACGTAATGGATGCACAAAATGGCTATAATTAGCACAGCTAAACAACAGCACATTAAAACAAACACTGGTAGAGTTGGTTATAATAATAATTGTTTTTATTAAACCAGTCGTGTTCTCGTGATAAATGTGAGTCACTACAGGAGCCTCCCACTAGAAAGGGTTTACACTTTCGATAAATAGCGGTTTGAATCGTGGGACTGACCGGCTGACGAGCGATTGTAGGACGGAAGAATTGGCGAACAGGAAAGTGATCGTTTATCGACGAGTTGCCAACGAAGGTCGTTTTCGGAGAACGGTACCAGGAGCGATGTGTTGTATTTGTTGCTTGAGTTGGTATGCCACACGAGTGGTTTGTATCCAGAATCTGAAGATTGCGTTCGTAGGGGCCCGAACCAGAAACGCTGCAGACACAGGTCGAAACCACGCTGAGCCAAAAGACCAGGAGCGACCGTAACGACCAAGTTCGAGACCAAGCGTATGCCAAGCACTCGAAACAAAATATCGACTGAGTAAGTTGACAAGAGCGTGGGTGGCCAATCCAGCTTTCGCCAAAGTTGACTGAAGTCGACGAAACCAAACGGATAAGGTCGATGGCGTGGGCTCAGGAAACAAAAAGAAAATCAAAAAAGAGAAGAGTGTAGCATGCGTGTAGCATAAGAATAATCCTACACCGTATCGGTTGTTCACTGTGCGACTAGTCGCGAAAGCGTATGGGTAACCGTACTCGGCGACCGGAACGTGAGACGGTAGTCTCGTTCGTATCTCGTGAGCCTACAATCTCATCCGAGGTCAGAGGCGACGTAGTCTGCTGGTCTGGACGTGAGACTGTCGTCTCGTCCGTAGACGGTGCAGATGACGCGTGCTGTTGACCGGGACGTGAGAATGAGGTCTCAGATGCGTCTGGCGTGGGACCTGAAGAAGATTTAAGGATCCCGCTAGGTTTGATAGGTCTAGCATTGAATCTCAGGGTGTCAGATAGGGCACTGTCATCGACTTGTGTTGGTTTGAGACGATCAATGCTGACGATCTCGACGCGGCCGTGTCGATCAACCTTGAAGGTCTTTTCGTGACGAGCGATTACGTGAAAAGGGCCTTCTCAAGGTTGTTGCCAAGGTTTGCGTACCGGAGATACTCGTATGAAAACATGTGAACAGGTAGATAACTCTCGAGGGAGAGCGACCTGTCGATATTGTATTCGAGTTGACACCGGAGACAGCGTTCGCATAAATGCAGACAGTCGATGGACGTAGTCTGATTTACCGAAATTAGGTCTGCTCCGTGGTGTGAAGAATTCTACGGGCAGACGCAATGTCGTGCCGTATACAAGTTCAGCGGCGGAATATTGGATATCTGCGTTCAAGCTCGTTCTGATGCCTAGGAGAACGAGCGATAAGGTTTCGTGCCAGTTGCCGTTTTCGTGTGCTCGTAGAGCACTTTTAAGTTGGCAGTGAAACCGTTTACTTAACCATTTGGTGCTGGGTGGTAGACGTAGTGCGTATGCGTATGCATTCCGTACCAAACAGCCGGGTCAGCGAGGAGAATAGTTAATAGGGGAAAATTTCTCGAATAAAGCGTGGAATTTACCGTCACGCAAAAAAGTGACAAGGATTCGGTACACGTACATGGGAGTCTATTATATTATTACTATTCTTATCGTTATCCGTCATGTCGCGTATATTATATACTAAAAGATAATATGAAAATATACGACAGACGTGGATAGATAAATAATAGACTCACCGAATTGGCTTCTCTGGAAGATTCGACCAGGGGTTGAGGCGTGTTCCAGAATTTGGCTCACCAGTTGTAGCGTGGTGTCGAGTCGAGATTGACTATGAACACCGCTACCAAAAACCGCGGAACAATGATGGAACGTAATGGATGCACAAAATGGCTATAATTAGCACAGCTAAACAAAAGCACATTAAAACAAACACTGGTAGAGTTGGTTATAATAATAATTGTTTTCATTAAACCAGTCGTGTTCTCGTGATAAATGTGAGTCACTACACTCTTTCACACCCCAAACCTATCAACTCATGCCATTCTGGACAAAAAATATAAAAACTGGTTCTGCTACTCAGAAGCTGATTTCCGCAAGCGCTACATGACAGACCCCCGTGCATAATTGCTTGAAACAGCAAAGATACTGCTGCACGATTTTAAGAGGTACGTCACACCTAGCATGTTTACTGGCGACGTTTCAGAAACTTATGACACTTTGAGAAGGCTATACTTAAACGTGAAAACCTAACGGACCAGCAAAGGTTAGACCAACTTTTCCACAACATCAAGCTGTAACATGGCCCAATAGCAGAGATTTGTCTGCGAGTGAGAGAGTTCATTGGTCAACGGACCTTTAATGAGCTAGATAACTTCCCTTGTCTAAGCTTCCCAAACTGGTGCATACAGTCCTCGTCTCCATCCAAAATAACGCTGTTGATGTAATAGTTACAACTGAAAGCTGGATTATGAAGATCACCAGGACCCCTCAGCGCCGAGACTTGATCTGTCAAAGTAAAACCTCAAACAATAGAAAATAACATCATAGACCTCTGTCATACTTTCCGTAGCCATCATAATATTCATCACAATCGTAAACGTTCGATACAGAAACGATCCGTCTTTAAACCACGAGATGCAGATAAACTGATTGATGCTGGTGCCACAATAAGTATGGTAAGTCTTCGTGAATTCTCAGAAAACCCTGCAGTCTCCCGAGCCTTAAGACGTCCAACACGGAAAAACTTTCGGGAAACGTCCTAGCCGGCACGCGTTAACAGCAACCGTAGCTGGCGAACATGACCCTCTGTTGCACATCATTGACGTAATCACGACGGTTCGCTATCTCGTCGAATCGGGGGCGGAAGTTAGCGTTCTCCTTGCAAATCCTAACAACCGACCGAACGAACCGTTTTACAACTCAAAGGAGGTAAACGGGAAACCGATCGCTAAATACGGTCGGCGACATGTGTATTATAATAGGGTCTGCGTGAACCTATTCACTAGATTTTCGTCGTTGCATATGTTTCCGTGCCAATCGCCGGTATAGACAAGTCACAACACCATGATCTGCTTATCAACACGCACAAACGGAGGTCAGAAGGTAACAACACTAATCTATCTTTTTGTGTAGCATCTTTTTTCAGTGGTAGATTAGCCGTAGTCACAGTGTGGCACATAACCGACCCATCTCATCAACGGATACTCGATAAATAGACTGATCTGTACCAAATGAGACTAAACGTATCATGTGTAACCAGTAATTTTCAAATCACGACCACAGGACCACCTATGTTCTCGAAAACGCGCCGTCTTACTCGCAGAAAGCTAAGGTTGGCCAAAAGCGAATTCGACTAGATGATAGACTTGGGAATTATTTGGCCACTGAATTGCCCATGGATATGTTTCTCGTACATGGTCCCTTAAAATAACAATGGCTGTAGTCTAAACATTGACTATTGACAACTGAATACGAAAAGTCGTTAACTGTTGCTGCACATTCACGATTTGACAGCTACCTCGAAATGTACAATTTTTTCAAAAATCGACTCGGTTAAAGCATGCAACTAAACTATTAAGGCTTCCGACGTTATTCCTAAAACATCTAACATCATCCCTAATGGACTCTACGAATTTTAGCGCTAGATTTCGGGTTATGAAATGCAGCACAAACTTTCTAGAAATTCATGAGCGACGTATTCAGAGGACTGTGTGGAATAGTTAGAGTAGACCTATTCTCTAATTAGTTTGTGTTAATACTTCCATTTTCCATCACTTCTCAATTTTTTTACAACTACCATTACTGCAGGCATGCCTGTAAACTTGCCGTCAAAAAATGACCTATGACCTTCCGTTTCGGTTTGTAAACATACATAACATGATCCACTGAATATTGCTCACAGATACCCGGCCGCACATATAGACTTCTCTAGTTTCTGGATAGGCGAAGCCGTTCACTCTTCTTAAGTCATTTATATATCGTGTGTGTATTGATTGCTTATCATATTCATCATGTTTGCAACTTATTTTTAGTCGGACTATAAATAGTAAGTAACGCTTGATTAAATTTAGTTGGTTC